GGCACCCGGGCGAAGGATCGCACAACACGCGCTCGCCCGGGGACGAGGCTCCGGCACGGGGCAGGCCCGAGGGGGGGCGGCGGGGGCCAGAGACGGGCGCGAGCGGGGATGCCCGGTCCGCGGGCGGCGCGCCGACCGGCCGCCGGCCACGCCCTGGCGCTGCCCCGCCCAGGTCCCCGCACCGGACGCCGAGCCTTGGCTCCGCGCAGGGCCGAATAGGGGGGGGGGGGGAGCGGCGGGGAGCGGGGCGGGGATCGCCCAAAGGCCGGGGCGACTTCCGAAGATCCCCTCCCCTCGATCGGCCCGGCCCCTGTTCCCCCGGGCCTACACGTCCCAGGGTGTGGACTCCGCCTGCCCCCCCCCCCGCTAGCCAGCCACTCGGCCGTCGGACGAGCGGGGAGAACGCCGCATACACGGGCGGCCGGACACCTTCCCCAAACTGGCGGCGAAGCGACGCGCTTCTGGTCAGGCAGAACCCGCAGGCCCAGCGTTGGCTGTCCGCGCGGGAGCACCTGCCGATTCGGCAAATGCCATTCATCTACCGGGGCTCCCTGGCGCTCGCCCTTTGGCCATGCGCGTCGCCCTTGCCCTGTCCTGCCCTCGTCCGGGAGAGAGAGAGAGAGAGAGAGAGAGAGAGAGAGAGAGAGAGAGAGAGAGAGAGAGGGAGGACCCGGGGGGCTGCGAGCGCGCTCCAGACAACCCGTGCACGCGTGCACACACACACACACACACACACACACACACACACACACACACACACGCGCCGCCAGCCACGGAGGCGGGATCACACCGCGCGTCGGGGAGGAGATCGGCCCCGGGTGGCGCGCGGACCTCAGCGCTGGCCCGGCGGCTGGGCCTCGCCCCTCCTCCCCCCGGTCCAGGCTCGGCATCCAGACAAGGGGGCCCGCCTCGATGACCCGGGCCCGGCGGCCTGCAATGCCACCAGCCCTCGCCCACGACCCCCCCCCCTGCCCTTCCCTGCCTCTCTCTCTCTCTCTCTCTCCCTCTCTCTCCCGCTGCCCCTGCTCGCCTCCTCTTCGCCTCGCGCCGCCCCGCCCCGCTTCGCCTCGCCCAGCATCCCGCCATCTCGCGCGTGCGTCCGGCCATATGTCCGCCTCCAAGTCGAAGACCGCCTCCAAGGTGTCCAAGCGCTCGAAAAAGGCCGGCGCTGCGGCCCCGGTGGCCGCCGCTGCCGCCGCCGCCGCCGCCGCCGCCAGTGATGCCGGCGTCCTGCGCAAGTTCGCCGGCTACTCGGTCCTCCCGGTGACGGTCACCGCCCCGGAGGCCGGGGTCCCGGCCTACCCGCACACCCTTTTCATTCGCAAGCACACCTCCCAAACCCACGGCCAGGTGGACGTGCGTGCCCCCCCCCCCTCCCCCCTCCCCCTCGCTGGCGCCTGGCCATGCTCATCCTGTCCCGGCCCGCTGACGCTGACCTGCTGCCTCCCGCTGGCGCCCCCTGGCGCTTGGGGCTGCCCCCCCCCCTCCCCCCCTCCTCTCACCCCCGCGCACGCGCGCGCGCGCGCGCGCGAGCAGTCCCCCGAAGGGAGCGTCCTCTTCGTGACCAACATCCCGCCGGTGTGCTCGCGCGCCGCCCTCGCGGCCCTCTTCACGGACAGTGCCTCGTCCGTGATCGGGGTCACCTTCGGCGTGCTGACCGAGGCCGTGCGCGACAGCGAGGAGGTCCTCGGGCACCACTCGGTGGCCCACGCGGACTTCCACGTCTTCCCGCCGCGCGTGTGCCTGGCTTCGCATGCGCTGAAGGTGGATTTGACCCCGGATGAGAAGGCCCCCGGGCCGGACTCGCTGGTGGCCCTGCGCCACCCGCGCGGGACATGCGCCTACGTGGCCTTCGCCTCGGCGGCCGACGTGGACCGGGTCCTCGCCTGGTCGGCGGCCACCCCGCGCGAGCTCCACCTCCTGGGCGACATTTCGGCCGTGAACCGTACGTGTCCCCGCACGGTGTCCCCCCCCCCGCCGGTTGTGGGGGGGATCCTGCTTTAGATGACCGGCGGGTCCCCGAATCCGCATGCCTCCGGTGTCGGCTCCTGTGCTCCGCCCCGCCTGACACCCTCTCTCTCTCTCTCCCTCTCCCCTTCCCCTCCTTCCGCCTTTCTCTGGCCCAGGCTACAAGCAGACCTACGCGGCCTTCCGCCCGGCCGAGGCTGCCCTCAGTGCCCGCGTGGACAAGCTGCTCATGAGCCTCGACAGCATCATGGAGGCCCGGGCCCAGGCCGAGCGTATCCTTGCCTCGCAGCCGGACGACGATGGCTTCGTCCTGGTCACCTCCGGCTCCGGCAATGCCGCCAAGAAGTCCAGCCGGCCCATGGTGTCCACCTATTCGCATCAGGCCGAGCTGGTCGCCGACAAGGGGTCCGTTTGCCGGGCCAGCAGGAGGGAGCCGATGTGCCCCCTCTCCCCCTGGTTTCCTCCCTTCCCTTCTCTCCCTCCCGCCTGCGAGCCAGCAGCCTGGGCCTAACATGTGTGCCTCCCTTCCATCGCAATCACAACACACCACACACACACGCAGTCCCAAGCCCAAGAAGGAGCTCGTCAATTTCTATCGCTTCCAGCAGCGCCAGGCCAAGCGTGACCGTACGTGCCTTCCCTGTCTCTCTCTCTCTCTCTCTTTCTCTTTTGCGCCCCATCTGGTTCACTCACCCAAGCCGCCCCCCATGCGCCCCCGCCCTCCCCTTTTCTTCTCATCGCGCGCGCGCAACACGTGCACAGAGCTGGCCGACCTCCGCCGGAAGTTCGAGGAGGATAAGCAGAAGATCGAGCGCATGAAGGCCTCCCGCCAGTTCCGCCCCTTCTAAGGGCAGTCCTTTCCCCCGCTCACACACGCACATGTATGATTCACATACATACGCGCGCGCATACACACACCCACACACACCCACACCCACACACACACACCTTACCTCCCCTCAGATAGAAGCACGCCGCGCTCGCGCTCGCGCTCGGCCGTGCCCGTGTACATTATCCCCCAATACCCCCCTCGCCACGGCCGCGCCGCAGAGCCATCCTCTTGAGAGAATACACCACTTCCAAAGGGACGACGACGCACGCGCATACGCATACACACGCGTGCACATGCACAGACACGCACACACACACACACACACACACACACACACACACACACACACACACACCAAAGACACACCCCCATCTGTGGGGACTATTACTACATGTACAAGGGGGGGGGGCCAAAGAGAAGGGCCCGGGAAACTCTAATGGCGGAGGTCCTTCACGACAACACGATCGCCACCATGGGCGGTGTCAGCCAGCACCTGACGGAAGAGCTCGGACGGCGGCGACGTGTGATGATGGAACTCGCTGGGGGACACGCGGCAGGCGCCAACCTCGGCCATGCCCTTGGGCGTGAGTTGGAACACACCCCACCGCTGGCCCGATGGGCAGGTCGGTGCAAAGACAATGGCAATCGCCTGCGGGAAGGACACCTGGTACGAGAAGTGCATGTGGAGATCGATCGAGCTCAGCATCAGCGGCTGGCTAGGGTGCGACTATGAAGATCGAACCGCCAGGGAGAGAAGCGGCGAGAGCAAGCGAGCGGGCGTGCGCGTGCGCGTGCGCGTGTGCGTGTGCGTGTGCGTGTGCGCAGTTAGGCCTACCGGTGTTAGTATATCAGCCGCAAAAGCCAAAGGAGAAGGGGGGGGGGGGGG